TACTTCAACACACTGGTCGGTATTGTTTGGTGAATGGGGCGCCCAGGCATAGTTTAGATATCACTCACCACTGGTGTTAGCCATGGCAGATAACTTGACTGCCGGTCACCGGGTTCAGTGTGAAAGTGTGCTAACCGCTGCAGTAGCGCTCCATCCCAAAAATGTATTATTAATCACATTACCTCGCGTCACTCTAGCAAAGTGCATCTCTTAGAACGTTGACCAACGCGAACAGTATCTTAACATCAAACAGTGAGACGAGGACACCACAGCATGAACAACAATACCAACCACAATGACAACATATATTTTATTTATTTAAGCAGGAAGGGTCAAATAGGCTGCTCGGGTTATTTGCATGGGCGTCCTTTGACAATACAGATGCTGTACAGTATAGATATTAGTTACAACCATGGTTACATAGGTCGCGATGCAAACAGCTTCACATGTTACAGGAATAAGGAACTGGTCGAATTCGTTTTTGGTGATAACAATGCAGTGCTCTGTACTTATGTGAAGCCCAATTTTCTTGGGTGGTGGCCGATGCATTCCAACTCCGATACATATGAAACTCCATTCTGTACCGGGTACACAAAAACGAAACGCATTGATTTAATAATTCATTTAAAATGAAGAAATATGAAAATAATTAGAGAACAATAGTAAATACTCTTTGGTTCTATTGGGTAAAGTCACGTAGGTGAAAATAAAATAACAAAAAATCACGACATTTCGGCCACAACACAAGCGGCCTTCATCTTTAAATCTAGAAAACAATAGTAAATTATCATCGGCACATTAATCAGCGAGGGGATTGGAGGGGGAGGGGGGGGGGGGTATTGTGCGTTCACATGGCACGCGAAGAAATCACGCACCCGAGTACAATTACGCGAATTCTTCCGTGCAGCACGGCAAATAATTAGCCGACATCCGCCGCAACGTCAATACACTGCGGACGCACGGAGTGAGACGCCGGTTGTTCAGCACCACGGAGAGCGCCTCCGCGTTCTTTAATATTGCAGAGCCTCTGCTCCGGAGCTGTTTCCCCCGTGCTCCAGGGAAGAGAGCACGCATCCTATCTGCTCGGAGATGAACTCTTGCAATGCAAGGGGTTGCATCGTCCAAGAATTATGGCTCCGAGTGAGAAACTGTCAACTCTTACTTAAGCCCCTGGGGGGGGTAACTTGCTTTGCGCCAGTCAGCACGGCCCGATTAATGACTGTATTGTTATTCTGTATGGATGTACTATATGTTGAACTTCTTTCGCACTGTACTTGCTCTCATACGCTGTTATTGCGTTTATTGTAATGAGCCAAATTGTATGCATGCACACACGGTGGGCTCTGTCAATTAATATGCATGCATAACTTCCTGTGGGTGTTAATTATAATAGTATTTACAGCTGTGCCATCTCATGTGTTTACAGAGGCAGAGGAAATGTTAATGGACAGCGATTCATGTGGTATCGAAGAATGGCACTGGAACATGACACTGCAGAACTACTTCGGAAGTCAATTCAAAAGGTCTCACGGGGTGGAGCGGTGGTGCAGCGGTTAGTTCACTGCACAGTGAAACCCTGCAACCAACCTGCAATCAATTCCCGCCCACGGCTAACATCCTTGGCGAGTGGTGTATAGGTTAATGAGCCACCCACCTACCTACCATTTCACCAAACCGCACTTACCAGCATGGTTAAGTATGGTCAAACGATGTGACGTGATAGGCCTTCGGCAATGAATTTGACAAAGGGCTGTGAATCCATATGCTTATGAAAATAATTGTTGTTTGAACACGGCCACAGTGGTCGACTCACCATAGAGTTGAACGGTGGCGCCATTTCCTGCTCCGACACTCCGAAATAAGACTTTATTTATAGTGGAGGAATTCGATGAGCTATAAAGCTATTTTTCACAGATGTCCAGTAGCTTCCAACAATCGCTGATAGGTAAATCATATTGAGTTAAAAAAAAAACATTTGTAATGGCTATTCGTTTATTAGTTGGCAATAATAAGTATGCTCACTAAGTCGCGCGCTGCCGCCGTCACATCGTAGTCGCTCGCTCTCGAATAGAGGGAGGGAGAGGACGACTCAGAGGCGCCAGGAGGAGGAACCACAAACAAGCGGGAAGGCAGCAGCAGCCACGCATCGAGCCGGCGCCAGTCCCCCTCCCCCAAGTTCTGCCGTCCTCTGTATATTAAGGTGCTATCGGCCAATTAATGCGTGTTTATGTGGGGGAGGAAATCGGAGCACTCTGAGAAACCCCACGCTTGTGAGAGAGCGACACTCTATCCCATGCAGATGGAAACGGTGGAGTCCGTATTTGCTGTGACGCCTTCTCCTGGCAAGCCACGGGTATAGAGAAAGTTTAACAATTTGTATGATCCACGAACCCTCACTGCCCCCACAGTGCTGGATTACAGGCCATGTGCGCAACGACAATGGCCTGATGAATGCACAACAATACACTTCAAAATAATTGACCCGAAATTACGTTTATCATGATATTCCGAATACAAAGTCTGCAGACCGAGTGTGTTGCTGTGGAAAGGGTTAAATATTTAAGTAAGCAATATATATTCGTTTTAGTCCATCAGCCTATTGGCTCTCCAAACCAACAAGCATAATTTGTTTAAGCAATCCAACTCGGTACCGGTTGAGACCTTCTGGGTCTCATCAGCAGTCAGGCTCATTTAACAAATACTGCTGGATTACAAATGTTATTGACAGGAGCACCTGGAAGGTCAAAACCGGTCCAGGGTTTTGCTTGCTTCAACAAAAGTCGTTTAATGACATTGGACAGGAAAGACGCGTAATATGCTGATGGACGTAAGCAAATATTTGTACATGTATATGCGGAAGAACAGAGTATATATAAAATTTGAGTTATGCTAATATATACCTACAGTGGAGCTTTTCAGGGATAAAAATCTATATAAACGCACTGCTACAATTGACAAAATGATTTAATCACGGGGTGGCTCAATTCCACGTTGGTCCCCGGGATCTCGGCGGCACTGGCTCAGCACATCTGACATGGCCATTATAATCCCTCCGAGCCGTCAGGGACACCCCGCGGGCACTACATTCCATTAATTTCCACGTCGTCTCACAGCCGTGGGATCGGGATGGAGGGAGTCGCGGGGGTGGGCAGCAATTCCTCGGCAAGCCGCAACTCCACGCGTGCACCCCGCCGCCCCAAACACCGTCCGCCGGCACCTCCCGTGCCACCGCCCGCAAGGCACCCACCAGGCACTAGGATCCTCGCTACACGTTCCGCGCGCCCTTATCAATGCGAGCGGATTAGGCTGCGTCTCGATCTACACATTATCAAGGGCAAGGAGGAGATGAATTGGCTTGCGTCAGGCCGTAAGTGGTGCAGCCTTGCGGGGTAATACTCAGTGTCAAGGCGCATTTAGCACCCGGTTACGTTAATGCCCGGAGTACGCGAATGGGGAAAATGACAACTCCTCTTAGTTGCCGGCTACGGACTTTGCTGGCAGGGCTCGCTGCCCATGAGTAGTTACCAGTCCATTGGTGCTGATCCGCAGCTGGCTTGATCCTCTCTTCTCTTCTCTGCCATATACACACAAAAATAAAAATATCCGAATTATCAAAAACTAATTTGTATAGAACTGTTTGTTGTGTTTTAGTTTCGCTGTCTTTCCCCTGCACCTCCGATGAGCACGGTTGGCTACGTTATGTGCGAATGAAGTTCAATATACATACATGGCATTTATGGAGCAAGTGCTGTTAGCGAGTAGCACCTATAAAGGCCGGAATTGCACACGAAGGGGTTGGTGGCTAGCACCACGCCCGGCCGCCTTTGTCTCCCCAATTATGATTATTACACACCGCACCAGGTACTCATTTAAGGCTGAGTCTCCCTAGTTGAGGCCCAGTACCAATTTATTCGTAACCAATATTGGCCAATCTCGGGTCGCTGGGTTCATAGACTCTCACCTTTGCACCTATACATACTATGTCCATCTCCTCTATATACACACACACGGTCTCCTACTCATGCACAAAGAACGCAGAGCATACATTCATTCTCAGAATCTCTCCCACTGTATCATCATTCAGACACAAATGCACGTACACACACTCTTAACAACACACAAACACTCCTCTCCGCTGTCATACAGAGAATCCATCCTCCCACACACACCATCCAGTACAGATAATGAATCGCCCATTTTCACACGCTCGTCACCACTAATGTTAGCCGTTGCTGGGAATCGAACACAGGTAGCAGTGCACTATTTAAGTTAGTGCACAAAGGTCCACCGTATAGCCTGAATAGACTTTTAGCACTCATACGCATAGATAATACCAGACGGTTATAATTCCATAACAGCATATCCTCGACAACAGCCGACGTTCACTACTAACAAATACAAAGATACCAGTATAGTCTTCATCAGACTGTTGGGACAAGTGCTGTTAGCGAGCATCTATGAAGGCCGGCACGGCATACGAGGGAGTGGGTGGCCAACACCATGCTCGGTCGCCTTTGTCTCCCTAATGGCGATGTTTACACTCCGCACCAGATACTCATTGGAGGCTGAGTCGACCGAGGGAAGGTCCAGGACCATTTCAGATAATCGTCAATGTTGTTGACCGTGAGCGGGAATTGAACTCTGTCCGCCTGGTTCGTAGCGCAGCGCACTAACCGCTGCACCACCGCTCCCCATACATTATCACCTGCACTCACACAGCTCCTCTCACACTCTCTGCCCCTCCAACTATGACACTCACCGTTATTTACACTTGCTCACACTCTCACCCTGATGGCCTCCCTCACCTCGACGCACACAGAGAGAGGCTGCCACTCACACTGACTCGGTGCCTCTCTCCATCTCTCACTGATGTGACACTCTCTCTCTCTCACACACACACACTCCCCCTATATCACATGCTCTCACGCACACAAAGAAATAGATCCCCCCTGTAGCTTTGAACAGATTGTTGGGGCAAGGGCTGTTAGCGAGCACCTCCAAAGGCCGGCACGGCACCCGAGTGAGCGGGTGGCCAACGCAAAGACAAAGATCCCCCCTATAGCGTCTTTACCACACTGCTGGAGAGAGTGATGTTCGTGAGCACCTATGCAGAAGGCCGGCACGGCACACGAGGGGGTGGGTGGCCAGCACCACGCACACAGACACACTCACTCTCCTCCCCACCTTCCTCTCGCTCTCTGACACCACGCTCCATCCCCTCCCTCCCCCCTCTCTCTCCTCCCTCCTGCCTTCGCGCCCAGTTGAAATGAGCTCATGTGTGAGAGTGTGAGACTAAGCGAGCGTTCGGGGAGAGAGATCACCGTTTGCTATGACGGTCTCTTGTTTTGTTTTGACTGCCGACCGTCCAGGCGCGCGCACATTTGCTCCATGACTCCAAGCAGGACCTCTCTGTCTGCCAAGGCGAACAGCAAAATCACCAACATCCTCACCGACATCATCATCATCATCTGCTGCTGCCGCTGCATCTCGCCGAACAGAACAGCGGCCCTGGCTATAATTCCGCACGCGTTCAGAGAAGATTACAGAGCGGACAAGGACTCGCTGGTGCGGCTGAAGAGCCTCGTACGGGACAGGCAGGGAGCACAGCGGGAGGAGGAGGAGGAACGCGGCCGTGCTGTCCGTCGCTCCTGAATTCATGCACTCATATGAAGGTACGCTGATCCTACACGCCGCATACACTGATCGCTGGGCAACATGCAACGTCTGTTTGCTCTCTGGTATTGCCCAAATGCGTAACACTAATAATGAAGGTTCTTAGCCTGTATTGACGTAGCACACCCCAGTATGTATGTAGGCTGTTAGGGCGAGTGCTGTCTGTTAGCGTGCACCATTAAGGCCGGCACGGCACACGAGCAGGGGTGGGGGGGGCAACACCATACCCGACCGCCTTTGTCTCCCCATGCTGATGGTTTATACACATCGCACCGGGTACTCATGAAATGCCGAGCCAACCTATATACATGCGTAGACAAAGTCTGCTTTTAAGTATTGTTAAGCGCATACACTCATTTGTAGGTATTGTGTTATATACTGACATGCATGCATACACGTCTGACCTCTTAGCTACTAATGAATGCGTGCACTAATATACAGATGGTATGTTTTGTATGCACAATTATACACACAGAGACAAGTGCTTACAAATGCGTACACATATCTACGTGCATTCAAAATATTGCATTTGTTTCCATATATATGTATGTATGTGATGTTACATACGTATTATACAAAGACATAGATCCACCGTATAGACATCAATACTGTGAGGGCAAGTGCTGTTAGCGAGCCGGCACGTCGCACGAGTGTGATGGTGTGACCAACGCCACGCCCGGCCGCCTTTGTCTCCCCAGTTTTGATCTTTTACACACCGTAACAGGCAATCGTTTTGAGGCTGAGTTGACCTAGATGAGGTCCAGGACCGATTCAGATATTCACTCGCTCCAAATCATACCCGTGCATGGGAATCTAACTCTCACTAGGTTCGTAATTCAGCGCATTGACCACTGCGCCACCATTCCCCACTTACAGCACATGCGATTGTTAAATCCATGCACTTATATATACGTGTGTGTATGCTGTTGTGCCTTATATATGTAAACACACACAGGTCGTCTGTCTCATCTTCAGTAATGGATTTTAACACATGCGCTCACATGCAGGTTTGCCCCACGCTGTAATACACAAAAAGTCTTATCTTAATTACATTCTGAAATACATGCGCCCCTGTAGATAGTGTTGAATATGCATGGACACAGGTCTGTCCGGATGTCTGGACACATGCACTCGCTTCAGAGCTAATGTGATGTCTTATCGCAGGCAATTACACGGCTTTAAACGTGTACACTCATAAACACCACAACCAAAGTGTACCGTCTGTAGCTAGTGCTGCTAAAAGGCACAGACACATTCATGGCATATTAAACACACGCTCACGCATGCATGTTGGTATATACACACACAGAGATGCACTCGTGTTCACGGTTCATGTAATGATATGCGATTGCATACATACACCATTCGTACGCAAAAGCCATACGCTGCATGTTAATCTCTATAAACCGCTCTCAAAGAAACCACGTTACGACCGCTTAAACGCTCAAGCTACTAACACTACGCCGTAGAGGTTGCGGAGTGCTTGCTCTGATTGCCGAGTTGTGTAAGAAGGGCAGTGTCGTCTACAATCTATGCGGTTATTGCAATGTTGTGTGTAACCTTCAGATACTCAGCCCAGAACAGGCTGCAGAGATGCGCATCAAGGCTGCGTTCAGCACAGCGCGGGGTGAGTCACTTGGATCACCGCACAATACACACGTGTCTTCCTCCACGTATCAACACACACACACACAACGTGTTTTACACATCCCGTCAGCAAAGCTGCCTCTTGGCAGTGCATCATTTTACAGCTGAATTGGTTCAACGTAAACAACAACAACAACTCTGGAAAGGTTTTGACATTCAGTGGCTCATCGGTAGGGTCAGGCTCACTTGAAGCAATGCTGGTGAACTGCCAGATGTTGTGGGAGCACGGGACATCTTCCTCTCTGTTGGATATGGGTCCTGAGTGGACGCCAAACGATGTATAATGCATATCACAAAGTAATCCTGGGTGCCGTTAATAATATTAAGCATCTATATGCATAAACAGACTCTACGCCTTCCCTAAGTATTCACAGTACACACAGTGTCGATGCGTGTACTGTTGTAGACACATTACAGTTCTACACAGCCACCACAGTGCACATTTAGCAGCACTACATAACAGTGGATAAAGCACAATACACACAGCAACGTAAAAACAGTCAAGAGTAGTATGTACAAAATACACAACACTTGACACTGAGCACTGTAACAGTACGCATAGTGCAGTGTACACAGTGTGCATGACAATACAATAACGTTGAAATGCGAAAATATGTACAGCATGCAGTATACACAGTACACAATAATAGTTAACATGCAGTATATTACACAGTGCGACATCACAGTATGTATGGAGATAAACATAATTTCCATCGTACTGTATCACAGTACACACAGCATACATACCACGATACGCAACGTACCAGATAGCAACACACAGAACAGTCCACATTCACAGAGTACACAGTGCAAACGCATGACATTACACTAAATTGACATACTACAACGCAGGACATAGAGTGCTGATTTGTGTATTGTATTGAATAAACGTCACCGTACAACATAGGATGTAATATCGTCATACCATCACACTAAATTACAACACAGTACACCATTGATAGCACAACACAGTACAGCACAGACCATCAGAGCACATTACAGCACAATACTACAAAACGGACAATCACAGTGCAAGATGGAACATCAGTGATAGTGCATCACAGTATAATATAGCACATCACAATGCATCAGCCCACCACAGTGCAGGAGAAATACCATCATACTACAAGGCAGTTCAACATACCGCGTCACGCACACACCGGGCGTGAGTGAGTTCGACTGCGGGGCTGTTAAATATTAACTCAGTAATTGACCCCAGAGCCTCTGGGTCATCAGCCATCCGGCACAAAGCCTCTGTACTGCACGTTCCGACTTTGAAATGTTCTCTTGGTTGTGATTGTAATCTCTGTATTCATTGTCTGTGTATGCGTGTGCCGATCTGTCGAGCGGAGTCGCAGCTACCTAAGTTCTATCCCCGCGGTCACTACTAACATGAGTAGCGAGTGAGAAACGAACCGGTGCTGTGCTTTGCTTTACATTAGATATATAATTAATGTTGATATATGTAATGCATGTGTATGTATGCACTTTCCCTAACAATATGTGTAGGCTATATGGAGAGCCTTTAGCTTTGTTGTATGCATGACAATATGAATGCATGCACTTTTTACTCCTTTTGTAAAGTTAGTTCACTTTGTACGTACAATTAAATGTGCAGCGTGTAAACATCAGAAATTGGGATACAAAGGCGGCCGGGTGTGGTGTTGGCCACCCACCAACTCATGTGCTGTATCAGCTTTCATAGGTGCTCGCTCACAGCACTCTCCACAACAGTCTGTTAAAGGCTATACGGGGGATCTTGTCTTTGTTTGCATAACGTAACTGTGGATACATCTATTTATGTGTTGCATGAAATGTACCTGTATATGTTGTGTCTTCGTGTATGCATGTGTGCAAATTGTTCGTGCATATACATTCCCATATTCTATCCATTCACTATGTGCTCAGTGTTCATATACAGAACATTGTGTGTGTATGCTGTATTATTTATATCTACATATGTCTTATAACACGTCCATAGTTATTACTGACATTGCGTTTCAGTCCATCATACCTATGGGCCCTTCTAAACCAATGCATATCAGAAGGTTGTAAATTCTGGCATTGTATCACGCAATGTTGATGAGACCTAAGAGAGTCGAAACCGGTTCAGAAGTTCCCTGATTAAACAAACTGAACTACAAGAAATGTGGAATGGGCACGTTCTCAAAGTTGCAAGCCTAATGAAGGATATCGTGGAAAGTTTCCGGGTTGTTGGGAAAGAGGAGAGGGCGCTCAGAGGACCATGGACGCCACGGTGGCTAGCAGATGTTAACTACCTCGCCAAGTATACAGGAGGTCGTGGGTTCGATTCCGACCTTGACACATGCTGTATATTTGGAATGTGTATGTCTCTCTCCCTGTGGTCGTGTGGATTTTTCTCCGGGTCCTCAGACTTGTTTCTTTTACAATTAAAAACACGCATTTGGGAGTGTTAGGCTGCAATACATTTCCACGTGATAAGCCACTAAGTTGAGCTATCATGTATGGCCAGGTCGCTTCTGAAAAAGATCGATATAGCTAAGTGGGCCTTACCTGGTAAAATAAAAAAAATAGTTTCTAATTTGAAGGGTAGGAGCTGTTGAGTGAAATTAAGAATAAAGCTAAAGATCAGAAGGGAAGGAGGGAGTTTGAGCCCAAGACATGCCACGTTTGGTACAGGGCTAGAGAGAGCATCTATCGAGCAATAAAAGGTAGGTCTGTCTCGCATCCAAGTCACTGGCAGTATATATTAACATCTACGAACCGGGCGTCCCGAGTTCGATTCCCGCACACAGCCAACACCGGTCCTAGGCCTCTCCTAGGTTAACTCGGTGTGTAAACATCGCCACTAGGAAGACAAAGGCGGCCGGGCGTGGTGTTGGCCACCAACCCCCTTGTGTGCCGTGTCGGCCTTCACAAGTGCTGCTCGCTAAGAGCACTTGCCTCCAGTATGTTAAGTTTATACGGGGGATATTTGTCTTTGTTTTGTACAGTGCATTGAACCTGTGATCAAGTCTCCCAGAATGCACCCGTGCTCGTCAGAGGTCACAAGCCAAGCCGGTGTTGAGCCGAGAAAGTGCTTGGATGGATAAGTAGCCACCACCATGCATGCCAGGTTGTTATAGGCGACTGCGTGGGCTGGGCTACGTGCTAGTCAGCAGACGGCAGGGCAATGAAGTTAAATGTTGTACCCTACTTCTGTGCTCGCAATATTCACCAACCCGCACTGGCCAGCGCGAAGTTATGGTCATACAACTCCCAGGACCCACACGGTGTGTGCAGGCCCTCATCCTGCAGTGGATTGACAAAGAGGTTAAATATTACGCGTGTGTAATGACCAAGGCCGTAGCCATGGAGTCAACATTGGGGGGGGGGACCAAATCTTCCAGGGAGTCTGGGCCCCCCCCCCCCCGAAAAAAAATCTAAATTTGAAAACGAATTTCCTGCCTAAAATATTCAAACAAATTCACGAACACAGGATGGATTTTTATTTTATTTTTTACAATAATGTCTAATAGTGTATTTTATTACATTGCTCTGTTTTTTTTATTTTTTACCTTTTCTTGTTTCATTGTATGTAATGGCAGAGATGGATTAATAAAGTACAACCATAACCAAAATCATAAACAGAAATCTATTTTATAGCAATATATTGGGGGGGGGGGACATTTTGAGCATATTTGAATATTGGGGGGGGGGTATGTCCCCCCCCCCCAATATATTATAATTACGGCCTTGGTTATGACAATGCTCTATATACAACACATCTATCCTGAGCCTCCCCTAGATTGACTCAACACAAAACATTTATTCTCATCGCAGTTGTGTTAAAATCGTCAAGCATGCGTGCACATCATTCGTCGCACCCACCTCCAAATCGAGTGCCGAAACGGACCTTAATAGGTGCTCACTAACAGACTCTTCTGCAGCTTGCCATATGGCTAAACCTTTGCCAACTGTGTGTATATACCCTGCTATGGGGAGTCTAATGTCGCGGTTAGCGCGCTGTTCTATGAACCCGGCGGGTTAGATTATTTTCGCGCACGGCCAACACCTCTGACGATTATTATCTGAACCGGTCCTGGGCTTCCCCTATGTCGACTCATCCTCAAATGAGTACCCGATGAAATGTGTAAATTTCTCCACTGGGGAGATAAAGGCGGCCAGGCGTGGTGGTGTTCATCCACCCCCTCATGTGGCATGCCGGCCTTCATAGGTGCTTGCTAACAGCATTTGCCCTAACAGTCTCTTAAGGCTTTACGGGGGAGTCTTTGTCTTTGACTCTGCTATCAAAGTCATAGAGTCATCCCCGCTGCTCAAACAACACCGCGGGGAATTGCTAATCTCAATTGGCAGCCATTAAAATACAGTGGTGGCAATTCCACATTCCTATCCCGGGACCAGGTTTTTAGGCAAATAACTGCTACCGTTAAATTGTAGGCTATGAAGAAGGTGTATTCTGGAAGCGGCATGCGTAATAATAACCAGTAAGCTATGTGTAAGTGCCGCTGACAGGCTATGAATCATGTTAGGTAACATTCACGGCACGCACTGCCGTGAGCGAATGGGACCAGGGGGTGCTCTGTTGAGACATTCCTTATCCCCAACAGTGACACACACAGAACAGGCCATTGATGAAGAAAATACTGACTGTATAGAAAATATGAGAACACCCCCGCTGAAGAGACAGCCGGTGGTACGGCCCACCAGGTGATGACCCCCAATGACCTGCCTCGGCTGAGCGTCCGTGTGGTGCGTGTAGCCGTATGATCAGGGAATGGATTGCAGTATCCGATTCTTGAGCCCTAACGATATACATCGTGATAAGAGTCGATATTTTCTCGGTTGTTAGCACAACGTTTAGATTCTCGATTATCCGTGGGCTGATTATCCGGGTTGCTAAAACCGAGCTGGCGAGAAAGAGAAATAGATGAATGACTCTGTCTGTTACGTATGGTTTAATTGTTATTATAGCTGCTGCTCGTCACTCGTAGAGGG